CTGCCAGCCTGGCACTGTATTTACAGATGGTGCAAAACCTGAAATGCTCGACCATTCAAAGCAATACATGTTCCCAGGATAAACTCCTGCACGAGGACAGAACAGAGATGCCTATTCTGCTCCTGACACAACAACATAGTTTCTCAGGCACTGAACTCCTGTACGAGGACAGAACAGAGATGCCTATTCTGGTCCTGACACAACAACATAGTTTCTCAGGCACTGAACACTATCTGTTAGATTTGTTTCCAGGTTAAGATCTTTTCCTTTAGAAGACCATGGCTAAGCAATATGGACAAGAGCTTTTCCCAGCTGTTTGCTGGGCTACTGCTCCACTTCAAATCAGGTGGGAGTTCCTTGAGGAAGGGAAGAAGTGAGCATTCTTAGGAAAGAGAAACTTTCAGAGTGCAGGTCAGGGCAGGCACAGGGAAGGTGAGCACAGAAAACAGCAAGCCCACAACCGACTGGGAGACCGCTGATGAGAGCGGCAAGCAGACACACAGCACGCCTCTGGGGCGACAGTCACAGGCCTTTCCCTCAGTGAAAGAGAAGGCTGAGTTTGCTGCAAGGGCAGGGGGGGAAATCACTGAAAGGTTAAGAAAGCAAGCCTTCCTCACTGTAAGGACACTACAGATAGATTTTTTCATAAAGCCTTTTATTTCTGGTCTCTAGAATAAAATACGAGATGTCTATTTTGAGTAGCTATGGTTCTACTTGTTCTAATTAAACCTGGCCTCACACTTTCAAAGCTTTCTTCCTTTCTCTAGGAGGTCTGCAGCAAGGCATGCCTAAGACATTCTCATCTCCCAGTCATTGTTTTCCTCTCTTCTGATCAAAATCTGTTAATAAAGAAATCCAAAGGACATAAAAAGAAACAGAGAAACAAGGAAGAACGCAATAGAAAACTCGAGATGTAGTTTAATAAGAGATCAGGGAAAAAAATGCAAGACATGATGTGCCGCTTCAATTCTAAGTCTAGAGAACCAAGGAGAAATTATTTCCTTTGCTTCAAAAAAGTAATATTCTCTCAACTCCATCTGCTGGTCATAAGGATAACTGTGAAACCAACGTGGTGTCTCAAAGCCAAACTTCACACATTATACTCCTAACCCATGTAGAAATACTAGATTTACTGGTATGCCCACGAAGAAACCATCCATCACCACCCTTGGAATACGCAGCACTGCAGACATCACAAAGCTTCACCAAGGTTGATGGAAAAGACTAACACTGTTCCCCTCACTGACAGCACATCCAGGAGCCTGGGTACTCCGAAAACACAAGAGGGTCCTGGCTGCCGTACAGGCTGCACACTGTGCTGAGTGCCGAAGTGCAGAACATGGCTCACTTCCACAGTCCAGAGATTTTGCATGATCTCACCACAGCAGAACATTGCCAATCCTGCATTGAACAATTTAAGTCACACTGAATCTCAACAGAGTGTCACCAAAACTTCCAAGAACGTCAGAAGCAACATCTTTCTTTTGGAAAGAAGTCATTCACTCAAGATGTCAAGCTGCCCATTCTGCAAGGAAAACTGACTGTATTCTGTAAAAGTCACACAAAGCAATGGCTAATATGTTGTTTGGATCCACAGTTAAGAAAACAAAGCAAAAAAAAAAATCGATCCATCTGACTGGCACTGAAAATTAATACCTTAATGCTGACCTTTTAATCATTTTAATACCATAAGGTTTGTTACTTCTTTTCTAATTAAAGAGATTAAACCAAATGTGCTTCTCAGGGTCTAGTGTAAGGTCATGATTGGAACAACGGCTAGAAGATGCACTGAACTAACACTTCTGAGAACCACTTAATTTGGGAGGTGAGGGAGAAGAGAGAGTGTGGTGTTCTTAGGAGAGCGGTAGCCTGAATTTGGATTAAAAAAATAAACCCTCTGCTGCAGCAGAGGTTTATCCCGGCTGCCAATGTGAGGGTTTTGCCTGGCAGTAGGGAAACTCCCGGTTAGTGTTTGGGACAGGGGTGCCACACATAACCATGCTTAGAATAGTGTGGGTTAAGAAACATACTCATCTTTTGTTTTACTTTTGCAGCACACTCATACGGCTACATAGAGAGGCAAAAGATTGAAAGGAATATTTAAAAAATGCCTTTCTTTTCAGGACCAAGGGGCTTTAAGACAACAGCTGCACCTTTCTTCTTCTCTTATTTAGATATTCTTAGTGGCAACGAAGGTGTTTAACGTCATGATGGAATCTGGTTTCCTGTCTCAGACATGCCACATATAACCAATGTTTTCATTCACATGCGTTTGCCTCTCACATGGAAGAGTACTTTTGGGGCCCTTTTAAGATAAGGATAATATAGAGGGCTGGTATAGCAAGATACGTGGTTCCAATCATCTCACAAAAACCCCTGGAGGTCCTTTTAAAAAGAAGTAGTTGGTCTTTCGCTTGCTGTACCAGATGGAGTCTGAACTGATCCTCCACAGGTTCATTTTTGATAGACGGTAACGTAACACTATACCCTTTTCCACTGCACTCCTGTCTCCTTCAGGGAACAGGATCGACCATGTCTCCAGCAGACCACACACAGGGCCAAATGCATTCAATCAAACTGCCATCTCTAAGGTCCTAAAGCATCATGGGACGTAGCAAATGGTGAAGAGATTGCAGCAAGAAAGCATGGTGTAGTAGGTCAAACATTGCAACTCCGCTCTGGGCATCTGCCTCTGTCACAAGCAATTTTCACAAGTGCCATTTGAGTCATATTTTTGTTGACCAATATGAGGCACATACATCACTGCCGTGAGTTGCAGGAGCACACAGCTAATCAACGTGAATGCTATTTTACACTTAGATAATGTCTTAACATATAAAACGAGGAAGGCTTTAGCAAGCCAGAGCCTACAAACCTCAAGTTCACAGTCAGCAGATTCTTCCAGTCTTACTCTCTTCATGCCTCTCAGCCTCATGTTTAAAACAAGGACAACACATCTTTATCTCAGAGAGGCACTGTGAAAATTAACGAATCCTAAGTGTATGCCTACTCCAGTGATGACTGCCACAGAAAAGACCATTTGGAAGAGACCAGCTGAGTGAAACGTATTACTACATACATTCAAGGCCCACAGCTACAAACTGAACAACAAAAATAGAACAAAATGTTGACTACATGCTCTTTCAGAGGGCACTGTTCATACTCTATGCTGAATAAAGCAAAGTCCCTGTGGAAGGAATAGCATATGGCCATGTATGTACTATTACCAAATAATTATACTGCCTTACCCACTGCTGCCAAGTAAAGGTTAAAATTTAACAAGTCTGACATTTCCTTTTAAATTCTTGGCTTTGCAATAAAAATGTTTAGATGGAAACTTCAGTTTTTAAAGATATAAGTTCCACCCCCATCAGGAATGCAATCAAATGCTAACCACCACATGATCCATAAGCAGGGTTGAGACCTTTTGCCTCAACACTAGAGCTGTCTATTGGCTGAAATGGTTATTACTCTGCATATTGGCTTGAGGGAGAGAAAGATAATACTGGACATACGAAGCTTTTGACACCCGAGAAACAAAGAAAGATGGTTTTGATTGTCCTCTCAGAAGGGGACTGATATTTTTGACACTTTAAAGAAACTGCAGTTGATAGTACTGGGAAATTAAGTCCCCCTTACTTTCCTCTGTCTCTTGGACAAGATAGGAGAAAGGAAGCAAAGTTTTTTCTTTTATTTCTTCCCCCACCACTAGACAAGCCTTGATGGCAAATGCCTTTTTTTATTCCACCTGAATATCTGCCATTACGCCCTATACTAGTAAGCTAGTACATTAAAATTTTAGGCTTTCCCAAACCTGACATTTAAGAGCACAAAATTAGCTTCAGAATCATCCAGTCCCTGGAGATGAATACAATACATTGGGCAGATTTGCAGGTTCTCTGCACAATCTGGGCAATAATTCATTTGCTTTACACCTGATCCAAACTGAAAGTATTTTAAAAACAAAATTAGAATAGTCATGCAGCAAATTGTCTCTCACAAATATTCTGCATGAGTGCAAGTGGTATTCTGAACATGATCTTAATCCTAGTCACCAGCTCCTTTCCATAATCATAAGCAGTAAATGACAGATGATATTAAACAAAGATTTCACAGTGTAACTAAAGGAGAATTAGGAAGTGGTCCTCTAAAATCAGGAGAAAAGAGGAAGTTTATTACATCCTGTTCCCTCTCATATATAGCCCTATTACAGTGATAGGCAGGTAGCAAACTCACTGATGGAAGGACAAGCATTGCTTGTGCCAAAAAATAGCTGGTGTTCTAGTTAAATTAAAAAATAAGCAATTTGCATGTTATGGAAGGTTTTACAAGTTTCTATAGTAACTGCTACCATGTCTAAGAATATAAAATGCAACAAGCTGGAGTTTCCATAGAAACGACACAAGCAGTTTGATTAATACGCAGACATACTGATACAAATGGGAATGTTTAATTTCAGTTTATAAAGAAAACCCTAGTAAACGGAATACTATGAACTTGGGCAGGGTATCCTAATAAGAACTATTCTCATAAGCTGGTGATCTGCAAGCCATGCACAATATAAACCAAGAAGCATTTGGTGTATTTACCATATTAGATTCAAAGTATAGGGAAGGTACTATTTAGTTTCAGGGAAGACTGTGATGTATCCTATCCAACACATTCTAATTGATTTAGGAATTTAAACCTACAAACAGCACTTAGAGACAAGACATTTTCATCTGGTTTAGAACTAAATGTACCAGGCAAAATGAAAGGATGTAATGCGATCGTTGTAACAAAACACTGATTGCTTAGAAAGTTAAATTACTGCGTAAAAATTGCACAGAAACTTTCTACATGCACTGCAGAGTGGTAGTGAGGAACCATGGGGCAACTCCGATGTTTGAGTGCCCATGGAGCAGCAGCCCAGTCACGCTGCAGAAGCCATTAATCACCCAAGAATTTAGAATGCACTACCAAGACATAACGAACGAGGGAAACGGGCAGGTACAACTCACCATATTTGGCACACTGGTGACGGGAGTACTCTTGATGTCAGCAGGGAAGGGAGACAAACTATTCGCCATGCCTGGCTTGTTTGGTAACTGAGGATTCACTCCTGTAGCTCCCATCTGCTGCCCTCCAGTTTGACTGAAAGGCTGCCCAAAGGGACTAGTGTTACCTGTCATTCCCATCTGGAAAAGAATGAACAAAATTATTATAATTTCCTTGATTCCGAAGGAACATTAAAAAAAAAGAAAACATGTCAAATATCCATCTTTGCATTCACAGAGGCAAAATTCCAGTTTAAGTTGCTCAATATTAAATTCTCAATTTTACAGCTTTAATCAAATTTAAATTAAGTTTTAAAAAAATATTTTACAAATTTACACAGCGCTGTCTGATGTCTTGTGATTCAACTTACAAACGTGTTGTGAAATGCAAAAGAGAAAACAAGATTATCCTTCCCTATCTGCATTGACAGAAATTACTTTTTCCAACACTGCAAGAACTTTTGAAAACCAGACAAACCTCAAATCCTGTAGTACTTTGTGCATTCTGTGCACAAAGCATGACGTTGTACATAGACTGGATGGGAAGGGAAAGGAGATATAGAGAGGCATCTAGCAAATGCTTATCTAATTTTGTTTTGGTACTTGAGGAAAAATGTCTGAACAAAAGGACATCCATCTAAGGCTGACATCCTTGACAAATTACACCCCCAAAACTCCTTAAGAATAGCAAGCAGAAATGCGACTCCCCCTGAACGAGTAAAGAGAACACTGTCCATCCAAAGAGCCATTTCGCCTGAAGAACAGTCTCCCAAGAGAAGTGGAAAATCTCAATTGAGTCAGTTAGTATTACACTGGACAAAAAGTCCTGAAAAGACATTTTAGCAGGAATTTATTTCTTTGAAAGAGGATGACTAAGACTAGGACCTCTGCACACTCCCACAAATAAAGAGGAAACAAAAATCAACATATCATGTTTGTGCTCCCCCTGTCCTGCACTGGGAGGATATCTACATGACTTTATCACCCATCAGAATGTCTTAAATATAAACCCAACCATACTAAATCCTATTTCCCCCTTCCTTTGACCTCTCCAGCCCCTCCTTACACAACACACTAGTTTTCCATGGTCCTGGTCTTTTCACTTCCCTTACCAGCAGGGATTCAGGAGGACTATTCCCATGGCTGGAAGAGGGACCACGCACATCAGCTTATCAGTGTAACAGCCTCGTAATAAGGAACTGCTCAATGGTTGCTTTTTCATGCTTACAGGAATTGGACTGAAGGACCAGTTGATGAAGCACTGGTTAAGAGCAGTAAATTATGTCGGGGCAGAGTCCAATAAACACACAGTTTAACTGTGCCTTGTCCTCTTTGTCAGTGTACTTTGTACACTTGGGCTTCAGACAGCTGGCCCAGCCGCACCTGAAGTAGCTTTACGTTAGGAAATACTCCCTTAACCTGCATCCTGCAGAGGGACTGTTGCCAGATTCAGGCCTTTTTCCACTGTACAAAACGCTGAATCTTTACAGAATAATCTGACCCACTACACACACATTAAAAAAAAGCTGTCACTTGGCAGTGTAAGAGTTATCACATATGTGCTGTGTTCCACAGTAAAGTTGAATAAATCAAATAGCATATAAGCAATGAGGGTTTTTTTTAGTCCTAAGAGCATCAAAAGCTTAGTAATAAAGAGTGCTTTTAAAGAAAGGTGGTATTGGCTATTATCACATTGCACAAATACAAATAATTTCATTTTCTGCATTTCTGCATTTGTTTTGTAGGATTATGTTCAAAGAAAATTTTTTAGAAGTTATTATTTATTACAGCATGGATTTTATTTTGGCAGCTTTTCTATGAAGATTTAATAGTGAAGCATTTAATAAACTTACCCACTCAACCCACTATTTCAGACAAGGTATGAGAAAGGGTCATCTGATATCTACAGCTATTCATTAATACTGTGACAGTCTATCAGATTAACAGTGAAGAAAATTTCTGAAACTAAAAGTGAGATTCTGAGAGAGCGGCTTATGACCTACTACTTTAACCTTTCAGGGGCCAGAAATAGGAACATTAGCTGTTTGGCTGTTACTCGGTTTCCCCTTGTGTCTAAATCCCCAACTACAAACTTTGTTTGTCTGCAGGAGGACTTGGCCCTTCTAGTCTTCTCTGGAGTTGCTTGCAGGTTTGGTAGGTGGTTTTGGGTTTTTTTTAGATTGTATAATAGACTCTTCTGGCGACCAGTGCTATACTACCACTTCCTACAGGCCCTACAGTCACCGCCACCACTGTGAAAGCACAATGGTGAACCCAAACTGGGAGAGAGAAACAGAAATGCTGCATACACATGAACCTATTTCCAGTATTTCCACAGCCCTACTCGGGCCACACCAGCCTGCAGGAGACAGCGCAAGCCAAGTCCTCCTTAGACCTCGCAGCTTAAGGACGAAGCATATTCACCCACGGGTGAGGAGATGAAAAAGATTCAGTGCAGACAACAAAGTTGCCCAACACGGATGTGCTGAGCTTGCGCAGCATAACGTTATAAGCCTCTGGCAAAATCTTAAACACAGATGAATTTTGAAAACGCAGAAGAGAGAATTTCTTTAGGCAGTGAGAACTCTAAGCACATTTTACACCAAATGTAAGTTCTTGCTCCAAAAGAAACAGAGAGCTGTTCATCCCATTTCATTATCAGGAAAGATTAACTTCTTTAATAAAAGGGAAAATGTTTAAAAATAGAGTTTTAGAAAAAACATTACAAATATTTCAGTCTCAAAAGAAAGAGAACAGACAATTTCGTTTTAAGTATGTTAAAACGCTAAACCACTAGAACTTCCCCAAATCACCAAGGAACTGCAATCCTAACATGGTAAACCACATGGTTGGTTTATCATATTTTAATATTTCCTTTTCAATAGATCTTGTTATTAAACATATCACAACTCAGAACAATAACAAAGCAACCTTTCAGGTCTTCCAAACTAAGTACTTAATATGATGAGGATAACTCTTCCTTTTCTAGGTGGTCATTAACTAATAGATACTTGATTGAAATTTTAAGAAATGCCTTGCTTGTTCTTTGAAATCAAGCTGGAAGCAGAGCAGCTTCCCTTTGAAACCTTGTATTTTTTTAAATGTGCTTTCTGCCACATGGTATTTCAATGTTTAAAGCAGTGCTTCAGTACGTGAAAGGAACCTATGGCTGCAGAGTTACACCAGTCTACAACTTAAAAAAAAAAAAGGCAGATAGTTTGATAACATTGTAAAACATTAGACATGCCCTTTAACCTACACTTCAATTTTGTAAATTACTGCCACTGAAACAAACTGCCAATGACTTTTTTTTGTTTGAAGTCCATCTTTAAAAAAAATAAATAAAAAAAAAAGATCTAAAAAGGTGGAAAGACCTATTTTTCTTATGTGGCAATCCCTGAAGTTAAATATGGAGACAAAAATCAGGAGGGACCAAGAGAAGTTTATTGAAGATAATAGATGTTTGTAGTTTCAGAGGAGTTTTGCCTCATAGGAGCTAAATTTATCAACAGGACTGTGACTACCAGAGACTACAAGTGCACAACACAATGCAAGAACTGCTCTAACGAACTCTTATCTACTTATAATAGTTTTCAACCAAGGCTGGGACTGACGAGGAGTTTTAGTGGCAGAACAAGCTGCTGCCAAACAGCATCAAGATCAACGGCATTTTCAGAGCTGTTACTGGTAACCCGAGGAGCAGCTCGGCATTTATTCCAGCAGCAACCACCTCCAGCAAACAGAGTCAGGTAGGGAGTCCAGCAAAACCAACCACTGTCAGGTCCTCACCGGTGGGAAGGCAACAAATAGGAGGTGGAAGAAAAGGAAGAACCTGGCAGATCCCCTGCATTTCAGACGCTGAAAAGACATCCAAGTGCATAAAGCATTCGCTGACATTTCCTGGTTAATTATCTGAACACTGAGATCAGGGGACCTTCCGTAAAACTTGATCCAAACCACTGCTCATTGAAATCTCAAAAAACAACTGGCAAATATAATCAGATGATTGAGCATATACAGAGTAAAGATTTTACATTGCTTATTCATTCTGCAAACTGAAACCAGCAGCTCCAAAGCAAACGAGTCAGAAGGCTCAAACACTGCAGCTCCTGCCTCTGCCCCCAGGTTTTTTTTCCTGTGTGAAATGAGGGGGCAGGTTGGGGAAGGCAGATACTCGAAGACCTTTGTTTTTACATTCCTGAAACAGAACTCTGATCCTGAATTAGCTAGTTCAGGGGAAGACTACTAGGTAATTACAAATCATCAAAAAAGATAAACCAGCGTGAACACGGGAGTTAGCAGCCTGGTAAGAACGGTCATTTTGATGTGGGGCTCAGTGGGCCATCACAAAGACTTGTATTTTGCTTGAAGTTTGTTAAATTAACTTTCCTGAAAGCAACGAAAGCAAAAAGCAAACCAGTGCGAGTTGTTTCTTTTTCCACCTGCAACAAATGGGCACAGATGTGTATCAGGGCTACTCAAAGCTTCAACATACCAGCGTAGTAGCTGGTGCATTTCCACTACAACAAAAGCATAAAGCTTCTCTCCAAAAACCTGGGTTATGCTGCGGTTCACTCCCATTTTGTTCTAAGCTTAAGGATGTTCCCTCCCCAGTTCATTCAACTGTCTGTTCATCTCCTTTCTTCTCTACCTGATGCAACCACCGTTTTCTGCAGGCCACCTTCTCAGCACTCCTTCATCCCGGGGTGGCTCCTTTCATTCCACCTCATCCTCTGGCAAATCATGTTTTATGCTCATGTTTCCGTGTCACAATTTTGTGCAACTCTCGCTTCTTGCCGGTTCGTTGTGGTCACAACTGCAACAACTTCTGATGGAGTAAAGTAGACTTTTTCACAAGCAAGGTGTTTCCTACGCAGTGGTTCCATCAGTTGCAATAGGGTAGATGCAGGGATGCTATAAACCACCCCAGCACAGAACCGCAAGTCAAGGCTAGAAGTGCCAGAAGTAGTAACATGAATAATGCAGGACACGAGCTTAAACACATTATTTCTACTCTAAAACAGTTCTTCTCAGAAATATGATAATGCTACTCTCCTTTAATGGAAAAGATGCATTTAATTTAATAATTCTGCTATCCCAGAAAGACAAGCAGATTCTGTTCCCTTTTTAATCACTATGGC